GCATTTTTAAATCTACACTGTACAGCATTACAATGTTCACAACCATTAAAAAATTCTGATCAAAGGATGGAAAGCTAAAAGATACTTTGTAACTATAAAAGGAATTACTTAACTGTGGGGGGTGGGGATGAGGGCAACCCCCCCTCCCACCAAAAAAAAAAATTTATATCACAGTACAAAAGGAAATTCCAGCCAATCATGACATGAGTACCAGATACAGAATCCCAAATGCTCATTTCTTTGGGTATTCCCTCCACATATAATGCCATTATGCCTTCTTCCACTGAATTCCTGGTATGCAATCGTTCTAATTGTCTTTCCCTAGATAAAGTACATCATTTACATTCTATTCAGGAAGCTCCAGACTGAAAGAACAATAATTTGTACAGAATGGTTTTCATATTAAAGCTTGCAGTGTTCAAACATTCTTTGAAATATGCAATGATTACTTTGTGCAGAAGATGGAAAACAAAACCCATCATCAAGTAAGCTGACAATGTGTCCATCATGGTGTATAATGAACAAATGCCATGATGAAGAAAGCAGTCTTCTGGGATTTGGCACCATGTAGATGTGGTGTTAACCGACGTTAACACAGGGTGCACAGGTGCGCAGGGCTAGAGCTCTTTGTGATCAAGACAGCCTACATGCAGAGTTGGTGCTCCTGGGGGATGTATTCAAAAAGAATGGATACAACAACCGACAGATCCATAGAGTGCTCAACTGTCGGCCCAACATCAGCTGGCCTGAAGATAAACTGGGCTCAGTCGCCTTCCTTCCCTATGTTGGGACTATATTCAACCATATCAGCAGAGTGCTGTCCCAGCACAACATCAAATCAGTGGGTCTGCCTCCAAACAAATTATCCAGTTTCCTCTGGCTGGTCAAAGATAGCCTGGGACTAAGGACACCGGGTGTATACAGTATCCAATGTGAGTGTGGCAAGGTCTATATTGGGCAGATGGGCCGCTCCATGGACATGAGGTTGAAGGAGCATCAGCGGCACATCCATCTCGAACATCCATACATGTCAGCTGTAGCTGAACACAGCATCGATCTGGGACACCGCATTCAGCTTCAGAATACCTCCATCCCAGTCACCAAGACCCGATATATGGATCGCATCATTAGGGAAGCCACTGAGATTGCACTCCATCCAGAAAATATGAAGGGGGGAGGGGTGTCTCAGCAAGTCATGGAAGCCTCTCATCTGTTCCCTAAACTCCCCCCCCCCCCCCCCCGCCACGCGCCACCCCCGCCACAGCACCCNCCCCCGGGACATGACGCCAGATCCACAAGGCTACTCAGGCCATGACCGACTCACATAGCAAACCCCCAGCTTAAGGGTTCATGCCCTCCCATTAACCTTGCCTTTCTCTCCCCCAACACAATATCCTATACAAACCCTGCTTCTCCCTCCCACTGATTTCCCATGTAGACTTGTCTCCCCCTCCCTTCCCTGCTCTCACATAGCTGAGTTTCTTTCCAACATCAGTCCAGTCTGCTTGCACCGGTTCTCACTCTCTCTTCATGTGCGGATTTTCTTATCTTTCCTTATACCCTGAAGATGGAGGCGATACGTTCCTCTGAAACGTCGGTTAACACCACATCTAAATGGTGCGACATCCCAGGAGACTGCTTTCTTCATAGTCACCACCATGAAAACCTCAAATCTTACAAATGCAATGATGTTAGCAATGAGAACACTCATGGACTCAAGTGACCTCTGATTAATTTTTTTATGTTAACTAAACCAAATTTGTTAAATTTCAGGTTCTTGTGGCTGTAATTATTAAGATTACTGTCTTCTGCAATGTGCTGGTAGACAGTTACCGTCTTTCAAGGGAACCTGGTGCCTCCATCTTCAGGGTATAAGATGGAGGCAGCAGGTTTCTTCAGAATATCGGTAATGATCTATATGATGACATGGAATGACACTTTAGAAGACTGTTACCTTTATATTAAATTGCAACAGGATCAGATGAAAGTGACAGAAGTTGAAAGCAGGAAAACTGACTGACATAGCATAAATCCTCATGCGTTTCAAAACTATAAACTCAATTAATGTAAATTTGATCAGAATCAGACAAATGGTTTAGGTATCGAAAAGGTACACTGAATAATTTTCAAAGTATTTTAGCATTTCTGATGTACTGATGCAACTCGTAATTGCCTCCCAATGATGAGCATAAATTAAATGTGCTAAATGTATTCAAAAATCATACAATCACAGATAGAGTTAATGCAGGCAGAAAGACAGCCAACTTTTTGGTAAAATCCCAAAAACTTGTATTAATTTTTATCCCATAACCACCATTCTACTTAAATGCTTCTCCCCACATCAAGTTAATACATGTAACTTATGAATGACCTGAATGGCTTCTAGAGCTGTAATGCTACATCTACGCTGTTCCAAACACACAAGCATTTCTCTACTGCAAGCTACCAATATCACAGCCTACAATGACAACACTTACGTGACAATTACTCTATCTACATCCCTATTTACTAAAGAGTGTCATATTTTTACTAGACAACAAGTATTCTGACACTGTAAAACATGAAACTAACAATATCACAGCCTACACTGACAATGACAATCACTAAATCTACTTACGCCACTATTTACTACAGAGTATCACATTTGTGCAAGACTACAAACACTTTGGCACTGTAAAACACATTTTCTATTCACGCCAACTTCTTGCTATATATTAAAACTGCTTTGTTATGACCCTTTCCCCATTAACCTCAAAGTTCTGCTGATGTTTCACTAACTTACTATTTGGGGGGGGGCTTTAAATCTGCAGTACAACTTCCCAACTTGATAGCTCACAAGCACAGGGGGCAATCAAGTACATAGAATTCCTTAAGGCATTCTCTGCCATGATCAATGCGAATTACATATTAAAAACATCAATAATTCTTTAGGACGGGAAGTGTAACAATCGAGAGTCCCCTCGTCTAATGCCAAACTCATCCTCATGTGGTGCACTCCGTTTTCACAAACTGGTATATATACAGGGGGGTCCAAAAAAATGTACTCTCTTTGATAGTCAATATCTTTGAAACAAAATGACATGTAGTTACAATTCTTGTGCAGTAGTGTAGTGTAATGTTTTCTCAACAGATGGCAAAGGTCACATGAGTCACGTGAGTGTTGTGCCGCATTCACACTGTGAGCAGAAGACAACAGCAACAATGGCTGAAAGGTTGTTCTTTGACCAACGCAAGGCTGTATTGAAGTGGTACTGGAAGTACAAAAACATTAAAGAGGTACAACAACGGCAGAATGAGTTTGGAACTCAGCCAACAACACGTCGAACAATTACCCATATTCGGGATAAATTTGAAGCCGACAGTACTGTTCATGATGTGCATAAGCAAAGGCCTTGGTGACCATGGATAGCAACAGGGCAAGCTTCCAGTGCTGAGATGTATCTCGATATGCTTCAGACATCGATTTTCCTTGCCATTCGAGAGCTGTTTGGAGATGAGAGATTTTACCTACAACAACATGGTGCTCCACCTCACTACCATCGAGATGTCAGGGCATACTTGGATGACACTCTACCTGGATGATGGATATGTTGAAGAGGTGCTATTGAGTATCCCGACTTCTACCTATGGGGAACCTTGAAGGTTGAAGTTTATCGACAAAAGCCAGTTACACTGAGCGTGCTATGAGAAACCATTGAAGCGTCATGTGAAGCCATCACACCGGACACACTGACAGCCATAATTGGCTCAGCAGTTCAGCGGCATCGACGCTGTTTAGCCGCTGATGGTGGTCACTTCGAACACGTACAATGACTCTCTCTCTCTCTCTCTCTCTGAGCAAGAATTCTAACTACATGTCATTTTGTTCCATAGATATTGACTATCAAAGAGCGAGTATATTTTTTGGACCCCTCTGTGTGTGTGTGTGTGTGTGTATAGTCAAGGAAATACCACTACAACCATGTCAGTTCCAGAGTTTTGGCTCTATTCTCTAATGAGCATACTGCCAAATATAATTACAACAGATGAGATAACTCTACACCCACAAATTAATAGGAATGGACATGCTACCACCTTGCAGCATTGGGTAATAATACCTGGAAGTGAGAAATTTAGTATCAATATTTCTAAACATTTGTCATTATATGAAGAATAAGGAAGTGCAATAGTCTGAAATCATAACTGATTCAGACATTATTGAAATTAGATGAAATTCAATTCAAATTCAATTTCTGAAAAATTACTGAACAAAAAAAAATCTTTACTCTTAGGTATGATGAATATTTAGTTAAATTTTTGTCTGCATATACTTGTATACTACAGTTATATGTATTCAAATAATGGAAGTTAAGATTTCACTCTCTTAGAGATTTCTCAGTTTTTCTTTTTGAATATCCTATAATTGGTCAATGTTAGCAGTGTTTTCTTATGATCTGTCATACAGTAAAAAATGCAACATCCTTAATATAACGTAAACACCATTCTGATACTTCTAAAATATGGCACAGTATGGTTTTTATGCCATTTTTGTAAACTGTGCTGTGCACATCCTTCAAAGGATTTAAAAACATGCAAGTCCTCATCCTAGAATGCAGTACTTCTATCAGAAGCAATAAAAGCTTGAACCACTGTCCAATAATGGACAATGATTTGCAATGCTACATTTTCACTTCCATTCGTACAAAAAACCCATAACTATCTTGAGATAATAGTTTATCTAAATGTCATAAACAGAAAAAACAAAATGCTAACTATTCCCACATTATTAGCAACAGAAAAAGCTTAAATACCACACTAAACACTCTTGACTTGCAAAGAAAAAGAAAAAAGAAAACGGATAAGAACCACAGATTTTGAAGCAGTTGTACATGTGTGTGATAACACAATCTTTTAGCTTTCCAGAGTTTGTTACTTCCTGACACTAGTCCGACTGATTAATACTTTGATCAGCAGAACAACAGCAATTAGAGCAATTAGTGCAAACCTGGATCTGAATATACCTGAGTGTTGCTCATCTTCAGACAGCTCAGCCCCCTCATGGAGAGCCACATCTGAACCACTTGAACTGCCTAGGGTTTTCCTCTTGCTAAGTGAAACTCTGCTTTCAGGTGACATGGGAGACTCATGGCTATCACAATCTGAATCACTGTGGATTGAACCTTGGTATCTCCTGTTCTCTCCTCCTCCATACATATCTCCATTCCCTTTGAAGGAGTCATCTTGGTTGTAATCAACATTGTCCTTTGTCAGTGTCTCATTGTCTTGAATAAGAAGGGGTGGAGCATCAGCTAAGTACTTCCTTTCCCTTTCAAGGAAATCATTTGTGAGGTCTTTGTCTCTTCCAGTTACTTCTGAAGCAAATTCTGAGGAACTATCATATGATGCTTCTTTGTTGTTGTGACTTTCTTCTATCCTGGTAATGACTTTTGGCAGCAGGTTCGAAGAAATTTCCTCTTGCAACTGAACCACAACTGGGGCAGCATCAACTGATGTGTCTCCAGTATAAGATTCCTCAATAATTTTTACAGCTACAACACCCTGATTCTCATCGTCTGATCCAAAGTCCCATTCTATATCATCAAGGTGCATGTTGCGGGTCCTGTGGGATGACCTGGACACTTTCCGGATGGGTTTAATGTGGTGTGGTGAAGTGGCAGCAATCCCCTTCTCATGCAGAGCTGCCACGTCATCATGCGAACTAACAACTACACTACTACCGGGTGCAGTGCCACTGTGTGCATGCTCTGGGCCAGCCTCCAACATACCTTCAGAGGGGAAACAACGCAACAGGCCACAACAGTCAGAAAGCACTAGAAACAACTGTGTAGGAGGCAGCTTAGTAAATGTGCATACAGAGATTACAGCATCCTGTAATCTGGCCAGAAAGCTAGAGTTTATGGGATATAACCAGATATGTTGAATGAATTAAAAAAAAAACAGGAACAATATATAACATCTAATAGTATAATATGACCTTTTAGTTATCAACATCAGATTGTTACATGAAACCTGAAACTGGCCAATACCTATTCCCAAATAACTCTGAAACTAATACAGAGAAATCTGAATGACTACTTAATTATTAACTGACTCCATGGTACAATTTCATCTTACAGTACTTTGATTGCCATCTTCTGGGTTTGACATTGTGTAATATTGTGGATACCAACATTTTTAAGGAACATGCTGCCTCCTTCTTCATGGCCAAACAAAGTGTAGTGAGGATCTGGTCAAGCTATGTAGTCAGGTTACAAGGAAGGTGGTCACTTAAATCTACAAGGAAGGGAAAACCTGGTCCAGGCCAATGGAAACACTGAAAAGGAAATGTGAGGGCAAAAACTGGCCCTTGTGAAGAATGACAGTAGTTTCACCACAGGAGGACATGGAACTGTGGATCCGCACTATGCCAATGGTAACAGTGAACAGGAAATGCGACGAAAAATAGCCCTCATTAGGGGCCAAAATAGTTCTGTCAAAGGAGGACCAGGGAATGTGAGAAAATGCTCATTTTCGGGGCCATAAGCGGGGAAGGTACACTTCTCACATGGGCAGGGGATGTAATATACACCGAGTTTTATTAGGTCAAGCTCATCCTTTATACAATAACGGAAGTTGGAGTTGTGCCTTATGCTTGGAACACCCTGCTGATGCAGGTGATGTGTTCTGAAAGAAGGGCAGGAAGGTATCTGGACTACCTACTAAGATGAAATGTAGGTGCTGTAACTGTTTCCATGAAAAGTCCTCTGGAGCAAGTCCAGCTCAGCATCTAGATTCTCCTGGCCACAGAATGCTTTGGCCCTGTGGGGCAAGGTGGATAGTGCTGCCTGCTCGTTCTTCACTTCATGATGTGACTTAGCTTTCACACAGATTAATGTGGGTCAATATTCTGCACAGCATATGACCCAAGGAGCAAACCCAGTCTTCTGTAAATATTGATGTCCAAGACAGGAAGGTGGCAGTCTAGCTCAGCTTCTATGGTGAACATGATGTGGTACATACTGTTATAGAATCTGTGTAATCCTTAAGCTTCTCTAGGCCATGGTCATGGCTGTTTTCTCACTCTCTACTTCCTATCTGCATGGCCCTGAAAGTGGCTACCTTCACACATTCAACGTCCTCTCTGCAACAAAATTATTTTGGTCTCTAATAAGGGTTATTTTTTCTCATAATCATGTTCACTGTTCCCGCTGACCCACAGCATGGTCTCATCTCCTCTCTCCTTCCAAAATTTGAGTGGCCATATTTCTTGTAACCTATCTGTGTAACTTGACCACATCCTCACCCCACTCATTTTGATGCTGAAAAATGAGGCAGCAAGACTTTTTTTTTTTCAAATACTGTATGGTGTAACAATCCACAAGACTGCTACAATATGAACACTCATGGCAGTGCACATCTGAAAGCTTACATCCTCTTAAAGCGGTTTCTGGGTGAAAAGAAATTTCCTGTCACTATGGAACCTGAAGATTCAAACCTAACTAAAGGGACATGTGAGCATTTGTTACTCCAACTCCTACTGGCACAGCCTATTTCCTTTGATTTATTCTAATATTATACCTCCCTCTCAGTCTTTCAAGTTGCAATTAGCACGATGATTTCACACCAAAATATACTGTGCACTTCTCATTCTTTTCACTTCATTCCATTAATTTTTCCTGTCACAGTTTATTTATTTCCTGTTCTTTTCAGTTTATTCAGTTTCCCTTTTTTGGTTTTTGATATTTAGTTTTTAGGACTTTTATATGTAATCAATGAAACAAACATGTTATTATGAGGCTCTTATCTGTAGCCATCCATGTATCTACATGTTTAAACTCTAAAGCAATTTGACTGAACTGAATAAAATTTTGTATGGTAGATCAATATACAATCAGAATTAAATTCACTAAACATATTTCCCATATTCTTCAAACCAATTAAAATACTCTGAGTGATCTTTATTTGGGTTCAAATTGGTTCATTGGAACTCCTTCTTTACATAAAGGCATATATGAATTTGTTCTCTACTTCATTAAATATATGTCTGAAAGGTTCATATAATAAATGTATATGTATATGAACAAAATACTCTTTACCTTGTACATATATTTTTATAATAAGTCAGTTCTGTGATATCTTACATCAACAAAAAATCCTAATGGATGCCTCACAATCACTCCTTTCCGCTCTCAATTACATAGTAAAGGTAAAAAGCTGCTCCTGTGTTTAAATTCCTAAGGGGAAAGAAAGTGCAAGGGGACAGGTAATGACTCTGCTTGTAGCACTAGCATTACTTTAAGAGATAAGAAAACCATCATGAAAACCTCAAACAGCAGGACCACCATCAGTAAAGCTTCAAATGGGATACCTACAGGATAACTTCCTTGCTATCTTAAAGAGCAAATAATGAGAATCAAATCCAAAATTCATTATGTAACTCCTTTACAAAGACAAAACAAACACCGTCCAGTATGACTATTTAAGTTTTATGGCTTGAAAACTCATCACCCTTACATGTTTCAATCCCTACGGATCATCCTCAGAGGGCATCAATACTTTTTCCGGAAACTACTATTACAATAGGTGTTAAATTATATACATATACATATAATGTCTGAAATACACAATGTACACAATGTTCAACTTTTCACAGTCACGGCAGCCTTCCATAACCTATTGTAATAGTAGTTTCCAGAAAAAGTATTGATGCCCTCTGAGGATGATCCGTAGGGATCAAAACATGTAAGGGTGATGACTTTTCAAGTGATAAAACTTAAATAGTCATACTGGACGGTGTTGTTTTTGTCTTTGTAATTGTTAGTGTGATGGACCAGAATGAAACAAATCAAATGTAACTCCTTTCTTTTCCCATTGAATCCATTTCTCTTAGTTTCAAATTTTTCTCAGTACCTTGCTTTCAGTATCTTTCAATTTCTACTCAACTACTGAGGCAAGAACCCTAGTTTTGTAATCACAAAGAACAGGCATAAGGACCTGTCCATGTACTTCAAAACTCTTTGCTATGCCTTACATAATACAATACAACACACTAAAAAGGTACACCACCCATTTAACATATTATAGGGTTACTATAAAAGAAACAGACACTCTCAACATTACTGATATAGCCAAAATATTTACATCGCTTTTTAATATATGTCTCTAAGTTTGTATGACTAATTTACACATGTTGTGTGTGTCACCCTTTTGTCACATGACAAATATCAATACGACAATCCAATTTATTCGAAATATACCAGAACATGTCATCAACACTTGCAACAGCTGTTGTGATGTGTTGCTTTAGATCACTTACACTTACAGGAAGTGGAGGAACAAAAACTCTGTCTCTGATATATCCTTACAAGAAAAAATCACAAGGGGTTAGATCCAGACTTCTTGGTGGCCAACATGTCAGTGCGATGTTCTGGTCTGTTGAGCATCATTTGGAACAAACTGGATTATCGTATTGATATCTGTTGTGTGAAAAAAGGCTGGCGCAAGGAACATTTGTAACTTAGTCATACAAACTTGAAGACATGTACTAACAAGCCATGTAAGTATTTTGGCTATGACTTCATCCTTTCCGCCTATATGATAACCACAAATTCCACAATAAATACTGGTCCAACATTCCCAATCCAATTACAGATTGTATTATTCTAAGCAAGCTCTTGTCACTTTACACTTCAAGTAAAAATTACACATCCCCTGGCCAAGTTTCCAGTTGGACTACAAGCAAGGTCATGGCATGCACTCAAACAAAATATTCCATCCTTTTTCAACACAGCAATGCAGACACACAAGTACACTTGTTCAGAAAATGCAGTGAAAGGAGTTGATCAGTTTACTGCCCGGCTTTATGTACAGTAAACTGACTCATTAATAGTTATGGAATACCGCACTTCTGTATACAGAAATCATACTGCTTGCACACGGAAAGTTACCCTCACAACAGTACTGCCTCTCCTGACCTTCTCCTCTTGCATGCATTTGGATGAAACCATTTGTTAATTCATATACAGTTAGCCCAGTCAAGAAGCATTTCTTTAGAAAATCGCATATTCTGAAATCATGACTGAATGTTCAGCCGCTAAGCAAACGTTACACAGATAAATATAACATTATTCCTGTGTCCCAATGTCAAGTCATGAAGGCAGCACACAGGAAGGCACTGCTCTAAGTATTCTTGGCTTCAACAAGAGGTGACTGGCCAGCCTGATATGGGCACCTTCAAACCCAGAGAAACAGGTCCCAGTACCGGTTCAATAAAAGGTTAAGTGAACACAGAAATTGTGGAACGAAAATTCTCACAGACCCTACCAAGGATTGAGACCCCATCATTTCATCATAAAATTGAACTATTACAGAGATATCTTTGACAAGTAACAATACTTTAGACTACTGGCCAAATTCCACTAGCTCAACATAATTGGTACCCCAACCATCACGCAACATTTGCATACAGAATGGAATGATATACACATGCACCTTAATATATTCTGCTCTAGCTGTTGCCATACAACTGCAATATGATTATTAGTTTTATTGAGCAAAGTACCTATTTCAGGATTCAAACAATGCATATCAGCACAATGAGCTCCTATAAACTTCAAATATGTTTTCATAATCATGAAAACTAATGCAAAAGTGCAACAAATGCCACAAATTACAAACCAGTGACTTACACCTACTAAACTTTTCTGTGGGTGTCACAATTGTCACTATGTCAGATACACAAAATATTTCTAAAGCTGAATTTTGGTTCCTGCTGGTGCAGGTGGTA